CCCCCCCCCCTCTGTGTTGCTTCTCTTTTCAGTACAAAGAAAAGTTTCTGTATGCTGTTATTTTTTCACCATCCTATCTGCTAATCTTCAAGGCATAAGAAGTCATTAGGTTAAATTGGGCAAGACTCTAGAGCATAGTCCAGCTTACCACTAAGTTTTTGTTCTTTGTGCTCTTGATTAAAAGCAGATACATAGATCTTTTATGGTCTGACTTCTAGGTGAATAAAGACTTTGGTTCGATTTTTTCAACACTTGTACCAGGAGCCAAAGCTCTACTAGCACCCTCTAAAAAAGATGATATCTTGGATGGTCTGGAGTTCAGGGTTGCCTTAGGAAACACCTGGAAGGAAAACTTGACAGAACTTAGTGGAGGACAAAGGTTGGTGAACTTTGTGGGTTTTTTGTTTGTTTTCCATTGCAGTTGTGTATGGATATGTCAAGCTTTTTATAGTTCAAAAAAGCAAAAAATTACTTTTCCCTAGAAAAAAAAATCTTTTCCCTAGAAGTCCCTTTTTTTTAAAGGGACTTCTTCCAACCTGACTTAATATTGAAAGCATTATTAGTTTACTTAATCTCAAAGAGGCATCTGACTTAGAACAATGCATGACTTGGTATATGGTAACAAACAAGATTTTTCTCCGTGGAGAAATGACAGTTGGAGTGGTGAGGAAACTGCAGTTAACTCTAGGTAGTACTGAGGTACTGCTGATTTAAATGCTTCAGCCTTTCAGTTGTAACCTCAAAAGTCTACACAGACAAGTTCTTCCCTGGTGTTGAAGTAGTGTCATGGTGACAATTTTCTTCTCCAGTGATTACAATGACTGTAAGGTCTGTACTTCTTTGCAACTTCTAAGGAAAAATCTTAACAAATTGAAAAATAGAAACAGAATTTAGGAAGTGGCGAGACAGTGATACAGAACTTTCTGAAGGACAGAATGCTTCAAGAACTGTACATTGAAAAACAGCACTGCAAATCTCAGAATTGAAAATACGTAAAGCAACAGCATTTAAATATCATCGCACAACTAACCTGATCTTTTGATAAAAAAAGTAATATTTGCCATTTCTGGCAGAAGGCTTTGAAATTGAAAGTTGTGGCAGAAGCTACCATTCTGTCTCTTCAGAACTCATAGCAGAAATCTGCTTTTCACAGAGCATTTTGCTATTACTGAACAATTGTTTTCGTAAGGCAAAGCCTCTCAAACAGGAGGATAGAACATAACTTTCTTGTTCTCTGTATTAGATCATTGGTGGCCTTGTCCTTGATCTTAGCCATACTCCTCTTCAAACCTGCCCCAATTTATATCTTGGATGAAGTGGATGCGGCCCTTGATCTCTCTCATACTGAGAATATTGGGCGGATGCTTAATACTCATTTCAAACAGTCCCAGGTATGTTTTTGATACTATTGTGATCATCTATTTATACACTTCATTATTTTCAGAGGCAGTCTGCCACTGAGGAGTCTCAGCTGTTCAAGTATTTTATTCCAGAAATGTGTGTTGTATTTCTTAATTGTTTCAACTGGAAGTTACACTAGATACAGCAACTGAAATTTCTAAGCATTACATTTGAATATAAACTGTTGCTGCAGTGGCTAAAAAACAGCTAGTAATAGGAAGAGTATCTGTGATATGATCAATTTCAGGCATGACCTGCATCTTGAATTTTGGTTTTTGCTAGTTCTTTATCCTGAGCTTTAAGAATATTTTGGACCCTTTTGAAATAAGCTAGGCACTGGTGGAAAGAATCTCTGTATCACTGTGGCCTGTGCATGAAAAAATCTGTAGAATTGAAGAAACTTAATACTGTGAGGTGAAAGGCAGTACCTGTCTCCATTTGGTGGTAGGACATAACTTTTCCAAATTACGAGAGGAGTGAAACATTTGTTAGCAGTATTGTAAAATAATTTGAGCACTATCTTTAGACTATGAAAGATCCTGCATTCTTGCAATTCACAGCAACACTTTTTCTAGGGATTGATGCACCATGAACAGGTATTCTGTATTGTGGCCATATTGTTAGCACCAGAAAATGTCTGGCCTGTGGGTGTATGTTAACCTACTTAGCACATCTGTTGGCCTTCAGTTATGTTTAGAGTATTTTGTGAAGAATTACCACCAAGGTATTGGTCAAATAAAGTGAAAGAATCCTCTTTTTAGAAGCCTTTTCCAAAGTTGTTTAAAGTCTTTATTTGGATGGCAGTATTTACTTCAAGCTTTCTGCTTTGTTTTAGTTTATTGTGGTGTCCTTGAAGGATGGGATGTTTACCAATGCAAACGTCCTCTACAGAACTATGTTTGTGGATGGTATATCCACTGTTAGAAGATACAAACAGCTTCAAGGCAGAAAAAATTGTCTCAAGGAAGCTGAGGAAGCCCAGAAATCACGTAAGTGACAAAAGAGGACCTGCATAACCAGGAAAATTCTCCGCTGGCTCTTCAGTAGCAGCTCTTTTAAGTATCCTCTTCCCAGTCTGTAGCTAGGCCAGGAAGAAACTCTGAAATATTCTTTGTTAACCTTGAAATAGTTAAATATGCTTTTATGTCTTTCAAGTCACATCTGCATTTTATTAAATTTGCCTGTACTATTATCTATTAGGATGTGTCTATGGTTGGAATAGTTTGGAAATACTTTTATTGAAATAAATAGTTTTACATATATAGTTATAGTTATAATTTTTATATATTTTATATATATATTTTTATATCATTTTACATATATAGTTATATTCCATATGGATTTTTTTTATCTATATGTAATAGATACACACATCCCATAACACTGCCTGGATGCAAGACCAAGCTGTTGGCTCAAACAAATTCATATTTCCTCCTACCTGCCGCTGTCATCTGTAACAGCCACCCTCACTCCAAGCAGCTGATGCCGCAGACCAAGTGCTGGAGGCTGGGCGAGTGGCCTGAGGGCAGGGAGGTCAGCACAGAACACAAAGGCACTCTGAATTTGGAACACAAGAATACTGTAAAATAGCCACAGTGGGATAAAAAAAACACTACCACTCACTTGGAAGAACAGGTCATGCAGCTTTTATTTAATTTTAACTTTTTGGTAAGCAGGAGGGTTTTCTTTCAGTCAGACCATTCACATACTTTGACAGTACAGATTGCAGTGAACTTGATGGAGATCTTGCAACATTAGAAAACTTTTCTCAATATACATCCATTTAAGCAACAGCTTGTAGGTCAGAATGTGAGTGCTAGATTCAAGTCTGCACACTGCACTCCAGGTATACAAAGCATTGCAGCAGCACAAGAAATGCCCATGCTGGGCAAAGTACAGTGTGTTTTACATAGTGCAATCACTTTTAGAGGAAAAACTCTAGGAAGGCCACATCTATTTTTTTTTTTTTTTTAAATCCTGTCAAGTTTACAAATGTGAGGGGGATAGAAATCAAACCTCTGACTGAATTAACTTTTGTACAGGTAGGTTTTGTGTATAGGCACGTGCTTTAGAGAGGAGCTCTAAATCTGTTCTGTAATCACAAGAAAGACATATTGCTTTGTGATTCAAAGTGTTGTATCATCTCTAACCTTCCTAACACTTGGCCGGAGTTGTTAATCCAGCTGTTTGTTGAGTTCCTAGAATACGCTCTTCCCTCTAGTGTAAATCCCCAATAGAGAAACTCAGGTTGCTATTGACAATGATTACAGTTATTCTACTTAACGGTCCTTTGACCGTATTAGACATTGCCTCTGAATGCTCCAGTCCACAGTGAAAACTCACAGTAGAAGAGACATGGAGGCTCTTACTTTTCTGTTACTGTCACTCACCAATATGGAAAAAAACCCAAGTCAGACAAGGAACTGCTACAGCAAAGCATCACTGGTAATATTCATCTAATACAAAAAAAAGCACTCATGACACCACATGTCATGGTAAGCAAGTTTTTAAAGATACTGCAAAGTGATTTACCCAGTAAAATTTTAAAATGTACACTGTGCTCAATAGTTCAAACTACATGTAAACGAAGAGCAGCTCCCTGCAACAAGGTGTAAATCAAAATGTTATAGCACCAGCTCCCAGCACCAAGGAGTTGCCCACTGACCAGTTCTAGTGTACAATGCAATAGTGCTTGCTGAGGTTTCTGCTACACGAGAGCCACAGTGGGACAGCTCTACCCATTTCTAGCTGACATTTTCTTACCAGGCATGCACAAATGACATTCTTCCCTTCCCATGGAGAGCACGTCAGACAACGAGATTGTTACAGTACCAGAAAACACTGAATGGGAAATGGCACCTGAGGGAAAAGTAGGTACTGCATACCTGATTCTGAATAAATGGGTGTGGAGGAAACATGAAGTTATCTGAGCAATCCTCGTCCTAACAGGTCACATCTGAAAGGAGCTGCAGACTGTAAGAACAAAGAAACAAGCCTTCCTATGCTGAAAGCCATGGACATGATATTGCCCACACTAATGATTTTATTTCACCATCAGCAAAGCATTTATCCCCAAAAAGCTGTACACATACTGGTCAGATTATGGTGCAGTGCTAACTTTACACAATTGGAAGTCTGTTGCTATAGTGGTCAAGTTTGTCTTTTATCTGAGGAGGGCAAAGAAAAGAAGACAGGCAGCATGGCCACATCATCATATAGCAATTTTACTCCACATTAATGCAGATATAATTTTCTTAAGTGCAAATTAAAAATTATTTGCTAGAAACCAGCATGACTTGGGCTGCTGAGAAATGACAGATGATTCAGTTTCTTACAAATATTGACAAGTCTAAATCATTACAGGTGTCCAAAGCAAGAACAGGGTTACGAACAGGAAGGGAATAAAACATTACCACTATTAAAAAAACGTGTCATTGCAAACTTTGAACACTCTTCAAAAACATATCTAGAAAAGATTGTTTTCCTTTTTTTTATTTTCCTGCAGCTGAAGAGTGAGTGTCCATGCAAAACAATTTTGAGAAGAGCAGTGTTCCACATGGGCATCAACTTGGCCCAACTTTGTCCCACACAGCTCAGTAAAGTGCTCTCTTGTGCATCCTTTGAGGAAAAAAAGTTCTCATTTAAAGTTTGGGAGGCCAAGGTTGCTAGCTGGGGAAGGCATAGTCTTGGCCAATCCATGCTGAGGTCAGAGGAGGAGGTTAACAGTACTCTGCCTTTCATAACTCACAGACAACAGGCTGCAAGGGAGGAGCAAGCAGATGCAAAGGTGGGTGTCAGATGAAACCCTGCCCCGGGGAAGCCACAGGAGTTTAACACAGGCTTCATCATGGGAAGCATTTCATTCTTTATAGATAACCAACGCCAGCTCTACTGCAGAGTCCCAAAGGTTTACTGTTCAGACACCAGGTAACAGATCTCCACCCACAACGCCAGTGAAAATCAAATGAACTTTTCACTTCCTGTGCTGGTGGTTTTTCAACAATTCCTTTGACGGACAAAGGGGATCTGAGTAACATTCTTTTGCCGATTTAAAGGAAAAAAATGCATCTTGCCCTCAACATTTTTTCAGTTGCATACTCATAAGCATTCTAGGGCAGATCATTAGAGGTATTTACTGATAAAACAACTAACCACCAACTCAAAAAGAGTAAAAATAACATTAACGGGGAAAAGAATTTAAGGCATATTTTATTTTGGCCAGGAATGATGCATGTTACAGAGTAATCATTTTCCCACTTGGTTTTCAGACCACTGCACTTGTTTTTGTTTTACATGGCACTTTGTGTTTTACAACTTAGTCAAGATTTTCAAGTGTTTTCTTCAATATCAATGCCTTCTCTTGTAGCTCAGGTCTGCTATCTAATGCCATTGTAGACAGTGAACGAATGAGGAGCTCTCTGCTTTCTGATGTCAGGCTCTCCCACTGTTGAGCTTCTGTGTAAAGACAGACAGACAGACACTGGACATGAATACCACAAAATGCCACAAAACCCAAGAGACCACCTCCATCCCCAGACAGGCTGAGTGATGTCTGTAACATTTTACTCGCAGCCTGTACTGCTCTTCCAGAAGGAGGCAAATTCAACTGGACTTTCATGTGCATATGCTGCTTCCTGCACAGGGAGTAGTTATACCTATTTAGGCTAGGCTTGATTGTCTAAACCTGTAATGTGTGAAAACAAGGGCCTAAGGAACCAAATGTTTCTTACTGCACAATTGCTTAATTTAATGCAAGAAGATTTTTGCTAGAATAAAGGAGACAAAGTACATGACAGAAATCTGAAGGAAACTTTTGCTTACAGACATATATGACCTTGAGACTGAAGTAGACTCATTCTCTGAAGTATATTCTGCAAGGCTTAAATCTGAAAATAACTTTGCACTAGGAGGGTAAAAAAATTACTCTTCTGCACAAACAGGAGCTCTCCCCTGCATGGAGCTTGCACATAATGCAAAACCTGACTACACACAGTCCTGTGTGCTCTCCCTGGGACCCTCCTCACCCAAGAAGTACCCAATGGTAGTTTAGACCTTGACTTTATCTACAGTAACTTTAAGCCCTCTCCAAGTTTCCCTGAGTCACGAAGCACTGAACTCCAAGTCCCAACCACCCCAACAGCACTCTGTGCTGCAAGCAGAAGGTAACGCCATCTCTCCAGGCCACACAGACAGCTGCCTTCTTTACCAGACAGAGGCTCTCCCTAAGTGGCAAGTAAAAAGTCTCACCTTGCAGTTTGGTGAACAGCAGTTGTATCACAGACAAAGCTTCTGTTCTTATGGATGTGTAGCTTTTGTTTTCTAAAGGATTTAAAAAACAGAAAACCCCACAACCACCATGAGAACCAAAGGCACGGTAACTGTATAAAGAGCAGTCACCACTGTGGTCTCCACTTTTGTTAGCACAGCTCACTGAGCTCGTTTGTGCTGGCAGTCTGCAGTGCTCCCCAATTAGACACATTTGAATGTCAGAAAGGGACCAACTAGAGGCTGACATTTACTAAACCTTGCACATCGCCTCTGCTATTACCACAGCGCTACTGTTCTTCACACATACTGAAAGGGAACATCGCTGCAATGTGATCACAGACAACTTCTGTGCGTAACAGACTGTTCTTTTGGTGAGTTGTAATGGCTATAAACCACTTAAATTTTAACAAGTATCATTAAGTGAGGGTACATAAAGCCTATGCCATCTAGCACAAGCTTGTCACAAAAAAGTTGGTCTCCTGAGAGACCAAATCTTGTTAAAGACTTATTCCAGGAGGACTGAGTTAAACTTTCCCCAGAGTGCTGTCTGGATTGGTAGCTAGCTCTGCAGGAGGTGCTGCCTTTCAGTATTCCAGAAACAAGAACCACATTCAGGTATGAGGAGACCTGGAGCACTGTTACAGTCACAGGACCAGTGGGAACAGTACCAAAGTAATAAACAGCCCCACAACTATCAACATTTAATAGGTAGCACTTATATCCCCATGGGTGCTCTGCTCAGGCAGAGCACAAACTGCCTCAAAGCCTTCAAACTTCATGCACTGGCTGAGAAAATTTTGGGTCTCTCCAATATGTATGCATCCAAG